TACCAGGCCTCCATTCCATGACGCCTTGGAATGTAGCTTGAGCTCGGCTCGATGGCGCTTACCTGCCCCTCTTTGGAATTTGCACTAATATCCATGAACCTTCCAAGTTGGAAGGCCGCTGGTTAACGCTATCAAGCAGTGCTCAAGCTGACTTTCATGCCATGGAATGTCTCAGTACTCCTTGTCAGTTTTGTGCTAGATTTTGCACGTCTGACTGTTCAAAATCTGGTTTAGTTGGTGGACTCGATCGCATAATGTGTGCCCACATTTTTCCATGTTACAATTTTTTCCTTGGCTCACCATCTGAGTTCTTATTACTTGTACATGACATTTTATACAATAACAATGTCATGATGAGATACGTGATGCCTTGCTGGACCAACCCTATGAAATGGTTGCTGGCAGGAGCACTATCCTTGGAAGTACAACTGCAACTTCGCCTCGCCACCATGGACATGTTTCATATCAAGCTCCTCCCTCGTCTTTCACCGTCGTTGTTTGTTTTACCGAGCTAGCTCCCTCTTCGCCCGCTTCTTCTTTGGGGTTCCCGGTGATCGCACTCGGGGAGTAGCACAGCGCCCTCTCATTTTGACCAGGTCCTGCGGGTCGAGCGACCATCCAGTTCTTTGACGCAGTCCTGTGGAAGCAGTCCCCGCCTGATCTCTTCATTTTTACTTTAGTGTAGCCCTGAGGTTCACTCGCTCTTTCTTTCCTCTCTCGGCATTTCTCTCTCTGTCTCTCTGTCTATCTCTGTCTGTCTCTGTCTCTGTCTGTCTCTCTCTTTCTCTCTGTCTCTTTCTCTCTGTCTCTGTTTCTGTCTCTCTCTGTATCTGTTTCTGTCTCTCTGTCTCTCTGTCTCTCTGCCTCTCTGTCTCTGTCTGCATGTCTGTCTGTCTGTCTGTCTGTCTGTCTGTCTGTCTGTCTGTCTGTCTGTCTGTCTGTCTGTCTGTCTGTCTGTCTGTCTGTCTGTCTGTCTGTCTGTCTGTCTGTCTGTCTGTCTGTCTGTCTGTCTGTCTGTCTGTCTGTCTGTCTGTCTGTCTGTCTGTCTGTCTGTCTGTCTGTCTGTCTGTCTGTCTGTCTGTCTGTCTGTCTGTCTGTCTGTATGTCTGTCTGTCTGTCTGTATGTCTGTCTGTCTGTCTGTCTCTCTGTCTCCGCCGCGGATATATTCCATTTTTCCAGCAAGCCCTTGTACATAATTACCGGGACATTACCGGGACATGTTTAAATTAAGCTGTTCCAAACGTTATTCAACCGAACTGCAAAACAACCCCCATTACATGTACATTGTGTACATGTCATTGTACACGTACAGTTCTGGTGTCATTACCCATGTTCGATCATGGAAATAGGGGACAGTTTACTGAGATTGAGAATTCTCCCCACATGATCATCATGTTGTTCTTGACATCAACGGTAACCTGGTAACGAGCGAAATCCGCTCCTGCAAATACAAGTGACCATGCATGGTGACATGCATCGGAAGTAGAGTGGTATACGATTCGGAAGTAGAGCAGTATACAGTCATGTACAATGACATGCTTCGGAAGCTGTGGGCTGGCGGAAGCAATAGGATCGCACAGACCGGTGCATCTGCGATACCAGAAATACAGAGTGAGGAAGTCACAACTACAAATTTGGTGACACCAATATTACCAGGGAGTCCCTATTCGTGTCCAATGACATAATATTATATGTCCGAATACAGACAGGATGCCAGTCTGATCTGCAGTCAGAGCACATCGGTTGGCCAGGTTAGGGAATCCATGCGCTGTACATCACGGTACATTGCCTGCTTTGCCTCTATGCTAGGCTAGTCTTGGCATGCTTCATACTGTTTTATGTTGGGATAATTATTGTGATTCAAACGGCAGGCAATTATGTACAATGTACAATGTACATGTACATACTGATAACGGGGAATGACGCTGGCGCACTGCCAGCTACACTGTACACTGTACAATGTAGCTACTTGTAGGGGTTTCCCCTGCTACATGCATCACGATCATTCTGATATTGCTATCGCCAGTATCGCCAGTATCGGTGAGAAATCGAAGTAACGGTTAGTTGCGTCTGCAGCTCAGGTATTTTACCAGTAACAAATAGCCGAGCCAAATCATTGCGCCTTGCAGTATCAATGTCTGCTGAGCATTTATCGCCTCCTTTCAGGTGGTCTGAGACTAGTCTGGGACGCATTCTTCTGCTTGTGAACGCAGGGAGGCTGCCACATGCAGGAATGCCACATGCAGGAATGCAGCCGTGTGCCAAGGGGAGGATCACTCTAAACATCAACACCTTGTCATTGCTGACGGGTTGACCTACGGAGGGCTGGCTGGAGGCGTTGCGTAGAGCTGCCACTGCAGTGACTGCACATACACATACATGTCAAGCTCAAATGTTGACAACACACACATCAACACCTTGTCTAGGGATGCTGAGCTATCTGATGCAGATACCGCGATAGTAAACACGAATGACCACAACATGGCAGAAAGCACGGCTGTTGACACCTTTTAAGTTTTACGGGTGGTCTAGCTAACACCTGGCCTGTGAAAACAAACTAGAAATCCGAATTGGGTAAAGGCAACGATTTGCGTGCCAACTACAGTACCGTACTGTACACAATGTCAGCAGGGCTCACTGACTTGTCAGTTTGAGCACTCTGCAGTCTGCACTGGCAAGGTAGAGTAGAGTCTACGTTCGGGCCTGGTTTATTTGCTATCAGGTTCGGCCTCGTTTTCTCTGTGCTGCGCTGATGAGTCCACAAAGGACGAAACAGTTCCGTCCGCAGATTGAGTATTTCGCTCCTGCTCTTGTAGTACAATCATGTACATGTACATGTAGTTGAGCACTCTTATGTGGGGTAGTGCCTTTGCTGTTTGCGTTATGCAGGGTTCACTGACTTGTCCATTTGAGCACTCTGATGAGTCCACAAAGGACGAAACAGTTCTGTCCACAGATTGTGTACACAGTGTCATGTACTGAGTAGTAGATTTACATACATGTACGAGAAAGGGAAATACCGGGGCCAATTTGGATTCCAAATTTCCTAGTACTACAAGTAGTAACTCAAAGTTTCATGCTACAGCAGACGACCATTTACACGTCAGCAGGGACCTCCAGACACTTGTCTTTGTCTACTTGTATCAATGTATTGTACAATCGTCATGTACATGTATATCATGCACATACTTTGAAGTACATGTACATGACTGATGTATACATGTACATGTACATCACACTTCTTCGCCTGAGACATTGTCATACGGTACCTGCACAATCATAGAATGTTATGTACAGGTATACATGTACATGTACACACTGGTTTACTCCGTCAGCTCCCGCGTCTTCATCACGACATCAGGTCTCTAGCGTCGCTCCTCATTGTTTACCATGGTTTACAAATAAGAAATAACGGAGACATGTACAATGTACACGTACATGTACATGTACATGTACATTGTACATGTACATGTACATGTAGGTCTTCTCACTGTGCTGTATGTATAACACAGTCCTCCGGGATCCTACCTTGAAACATCCAAAATTAATGACATAATGTAGACACCCCATCTTCCTCTGGAGACCCAGACATGTACATGTACTGTACAAAAACAAGCTGCTGAATACTAACTGGAGAGTGGAATCTGCCATTATTTCAAGCATAATCCGCCAAGGGCACTACTCAACAGGCATTATTATGGTCTTCTTACAGGGTGCCCATGTAGAAATTATAAGCATCTGGCGTGAAATCACTGAAAAGCAGGGAAGGTACATATACTTGGGATCATTATGAAAGCGGGTATTGTGAAAAAGCGGTCAGCACCAAGAAAAGAGAGACTACATGTACATGTACATGTACATACATGTATATAGGCCTGGCCGGGACTTACATGTATGTACATGTAGATTGCGGAAGAACGAGACTGCGTTTATCCTATGGTTGGGGGGGGGGGGGGTGTAGTGCGGGTAGTGAAGATTTACGTAAATGAGGGGATTGCCAAGGGCAAGGAACCTAATGAAGCGGAAAGTTAAAATTTAACTTTTTAATGATATTGATGTGATGCTGCAAAAGTATTGAGGGTATGCAACGAATATGTATCACGATTCACGACTCACGATTATACATGTACATGATTGTACATGTACACATACATGCACATGTACATGTACACGTACAGGTACATGTACATGACTGTACATGTACATGTACATGTACATGTACATGTACATGTACATGTACACGTATAATGATGGTATTTACTGTCTGATAAACCTTGTTGTGAATACATGTACTGTAAGTCTGTATTCGTTGTCTGACGATTGGTTCAGCCATGGGCCATGGCATGAAGCTCTGAGTCACAACGGAATTTGCCAAGGTTTGCAGCAGACCCTATTATAAGGTCTTCTTACAGCTACATGTACATGTACACTGTACTGTAGCTGTACTACTACTGTACTACTACTAGTCTGTATTCTCTCTTTTTTAAAGAATTATTATGTAATTGTTATGGCCGTGTGGAGACTGTGCATGTGGACGTGTCGACATAATTATACATGTACATGATTGTCATGATCTGCGAGTACAAAACATTTTCACATCCTGTATGGATCTCGTTTCACATGCCATGGCTTCAATCAGTTCTAAAGGATCACGTATAAAACTCTCAACGAGTATGAAAATGTGGCAGTTTGCCATGGATGGCTTCACTCGACTCCGATTGTCCAGCTAGCTGTTCGCAGCCTGCGATCATGGATAGCATGCCATGCCATGTCGTCGATTAGTTGTGCGGTACTCCAACACAACAATGCTGACATGCAGCGGCCGCTGCTTGCAGGTTGTGGCAGCACGTGACTTGACAGATCCCGGAAGGCTGCAAGCCAAGAGTTGGCACAGCATTGTACTACCTGCCAAAGGCAAAACAGCTAGCGAAGCGAAGGCGGCAGAACTCTGCGGAAGGTAAAATAGTAAAATACGTGTGTTTCACAGTTATCACCTACGCTCGACATAGGCAACACGCAGTGTAGAGAGGCTTTTTTCAGTTTTACTTCTCTAGTCTAGCTGGCTGGTTTGGCATTCGTCGTGTTCCCCACACACACTGCTGTGCTGTTGCAGTGTCAAGGTCTTCCAGTCTTGATGTGCATTGATGATAGAGTAAGTTAGTTGCCAGTACTGACACTGGCACTCGGTCTGTAGACTAGTGCGTTTAGACTGTGCATGTCCGTCAAGAGTTTTGTGAGCTGACCCTGCTCATGCTCAGGTAAGTCACCACTGGTCACTGGCAGGCTATGTAACCGCTCCTTGCTGCGCCTGAAACATGCCGATGTGTAGGCCCTTTACTTGGCTTCGTGTGGCTTTGTCTTTCTCCGTTCGTTTCAATCTGCCTCGGTCCATCCTTGCGCACACCTCCTCCATACCTCCTTTCCTAGCCGGCCCGGCACAGTCCGAACTGCACAGCGCGTGGCTGCTCCTCAGTTGTGCCGCACCTGTGTACTACTAGCGATTCGTGCAGCGCTTGTGAAATATTTAAAAACAATAATAATTGTTGGAGCGGAGTTCGACTGTACTGGTCGCTGGTACATGGTACATGGTGTCTGTGTGCTTGCTTATGCGGAGTTTCTAAAGTGCATTCTTTCCTTGTCACCGCTTTTGTCGGAAAATTGATGACTGTGAATGACGGGCGGGCACGCATGCACACATGACTTTACTTAGGCGTAGTCGTTCCGTAGAGTCTACGTAGCACTGCCCCGCTAGGCTATACTATAGCCTAGGCTAGCTATACTACACTCTACAGCTCTTTTTGCGACATTCTTGTGAGTATGAACATGACAAAATAGTAGGCTACAGTAAAGACTGCCTAGCCTGTACTAGTGTGAGGCGGTGTCCAGTGCAGTACTGGCGGAGACTCTACGCGGCAGTGGTGTCAGTGTGTGTATGGCGGTGGTGGTTTGTGTGTGCCCGAATGGTGAAAACATGTGGCCCAAACAGGCACTTTGGCCCAAGTTTGGGCACTTAGGCCGTGTCGACCTGTGAATCGCTCCATCTCTGCCTGGATCGCTCTAGGCTAGCTCTAGCTCTAGCCATTCTACGATCAAGCGTACATGTAGGTTATCATGCACCCATACCCGTGCCTGGACGGCTCTAGTCTGGCACTTCAGTACTACACTAGTAGCGCTGAATCTTTACTGCTGGGCTATCCATGCTATGGACTACTCCCTCACTGGTGGAAGACATCCACTGCAGGATCTTTTATGGTTTCCTCCGGCATATTTGGCAGCTCTAGCGTTGCGAAGCTGGGACAGTGTCTGTAGTGGTTTTAGTGACGGTACAGAAAGCACGCTTTACGCTAGCACTGTACCAGGCGGTGACCAGGTGACGCGGTTGTGCATGTAAAAAGACGTTCTGTATTCACAAAGTGGTAGGCTCTGGTAGTCTGGGCCGCAGTACTAGTATCCGTAGTCCGTGTACAGTAATAATAATAATGTTCCTTTTGTCCGTGCTCGGCTGGAACCTACATGTACATGTCATGTAGCTTGCTCTGCACATGTGTGGTTGCCCTTGCATGCTGCGCGTGCCTCAAAATTACTAGTACATGTACATGACTGTACATGTACTAACACATCTGTACTCACAGACACACACACGCGCACGCACACTTGACTTTGTCGGACGAGACTTGAACTGCCCGTAAATCTACGTGCAAAGCATGTACAATGACTCTGTAGTGTAGATATCTGTTTCGTTTGTTCGGGTAACTGGTTGCTAACCACCGGTGTACGCCTGTGCTTGTGCACAGAGCTAGAGCCGCTCACTGCTCACATATTCATGAGTGGAACTACTGCCTAAAGGTGAAAAAAGCTACATCACTGCGTGCCTGGTCAACCCCAGCCGGCCCTAGTGCAGCGCAGCATGATTGTGCGTAACACTTCTACTCGTGTGCCAAATTATTTGATGTCTTTGCAGGCTCTCGGCTTGCAATCCGCCTCTGCTCTACCAGTGTCGGTTTGGGAGAAGGGAATAGTCTCAGGAAGATCTCCTGTCGGTCAGTAGCCATTCCTGCTATCTCGCGAGCAGTTCATAGTTCGTCAGCTCAGCAGTAGGTACCTGGGCGTACCAGTGGAACTTGGAAGCGACTGGCAATATCTTCCTGGCCGCTAACACTGTTGGTGCTGAGGCTGATTGCGTTCTTCCGTGTTTGCAGTACTTGCTGGTCAACGCGGTGAAGACCAGTGTGTCTCCACGTGACGACGCACTGTTAGTTCTACGTTAGATCCAGACTAGGGTTGGATGTAACCAAGATATGGCGCGGTTACAGCTTCTTGCTTCTCTGGCCGCGTTGGCCTTCGCTAGCCTAATTTCAGGTAAAGACATGTATTAATTTAGTTTGTGCTGTGATGTGGCGACTTGTTACCAAGTCTTGTCGTTTTCAGACCTTTTGGTTTGGGTTTCCGTCATTTCCTGATGTCATCAATCAGCTTTTAATATGTCTTTGGGTGATTCTGGGCCGCGTTGTTTCTACCTACACTGACACTGGTCTGTAGCTAGTTTCGACACCTTCGTGACGTTGCGTTGCCTGATTTGTTCATTATTGTTTGGCGCTTGTATCATGTGTATCGCCCGTGTGTTTCGTGTTTTCTGATGCAGTGGCCCTCACGCAAAACTGCCACGATACAGCCGAGTTCGATTGCTATAACAACGATACGCATTGCGTATCGATAACATGGCGTTGCGACGGGACGAGGGACTGCCCGAACGGGGCGGACGAGAACGACTGTGGTAAGCATAGTGAGCGTCTTCTTCGTTCCTCTTTCCCCTTGTTACGGCTGACACAACGCATGGATATCCTTGCATACTTCTCTGTTGTCTTGTAAAACGTTGTTGTGTTTTGTATTGTTCAGTACAAGGCCGTGTGTTCCACACCTACCTTAGTCCTACATTCGGAAGATTCCATGGATCTTCCATTGGCATTACACTGGATGTGTTGAAATTTAATTTTGAGTAACGGAATCGTAGTGATAAATCCGGATTTCGCAATGATTGACTGTGATCCGTGTACTGATTGCGTCAAGTCCGACCGGTTGAAAATCATGTGCAGTGGCGCTCGACATCGTCGTTGTCGTTGGTTGGTGCTCGGTAGCTTTGACCTGATGAGGAGTCGATCAGTTGCTAGCTTCGGTGTCAAGGGCAGCTTCGGTAGAGCGTGCTAGGAAAGCGCTGTGAACCGTGACTTGCTGACTGAATTCGCCAGGGGTCCAGCCACCGAGCACTCTGCATGAAGTGTAGACTAGTACCTTCTACTGTTGAAGATTTTGTACGTAGACCGTGAGCTGAGCATTTTTAGTAATACTACTAGTATTTCTATTCAGTTGTTTTGTGGTGGTTTTTGCCGACACATTTTCTCCTTGGGCTGCTGCTATTTTTGGTCTGCATCTCTGTACGAAAGGTTAATACATGTACAATCAGTGTAGACTATAGTGAACTAGACTGCATTCGCCTGGGCCTGTGGACTGTGGTATCAGATACCCGCACATCTGCAGATGTGTGGCGGAGACGCGGATCAAGCGCAGACAGACTTTGATTCAAAGCCTTGAAACTGAAAATAATTACTTTGATTCGTTTTAAATTGAAGACAAAGAAAGTTAGTTCTGTGATGTGTCGCCGCTGTCGGTAAATGCGCCGTTCGCTGGTCAAGGTTCTTTCTCTTTTCTTTTTTTCCAGCAGCGGAGCTACCGGTAATGCGCTAAGTTGCATTGTATTTGCACACGTTCCGCTTTTTGCGAGTGCGGCTTCTGTTTGTATGGTGTTTTCAACGGCTCGTTTGCACCTGGGTGTAGCCGGTCGACGGACACATTTATTTGTGACGACGTTTGTGTCGCAATGGTGCTGAGGGATGCTAGCTATGAATAGGGGACCCCGTCAAACAATGCTGGGCTGAGGAAGTACCTCTGAGTGGCAAGGCAGTGTGAGAAGTGCGCTTTCCCTTGCCTTTGAACAAAGAGCGTGGAGAGTGACTTACACAGTAGCAAGAGTTTAGTGGATAATTTGTTTGTATTCACTCAACGTGTTGTGTGGATCAGGATGCTGACTCACGGTGGCATCTTGGAAATGCATGTGTCGAGTAGCAAAGGGCACTTCCTGTCCAGTTCCTTATCCAGGTGGAAATGCTGCCCTTCTTCCAGCTGGTGTGTGCAGGATCCTTGTTGAGTGGGCTGGCATGCAGTTGCTGTTAGACTTGATTTACTCAGCAGTTTAGCTGTTGGTCATTGAGTTGCTTCCTGGCTTTAGAAGAAATTCATAGTATAGCAATTGTCATCCAAATAGTAGGGATGATTGACAGGAGTAATAGAGCCCCAATAATTTCTACACTATTGTGCCCTGCCTGGCTTGCTCTATCTGCCCCGTCAAAATTATAGAGTTCAGCGGGTGGTTGAATTTGTTGACACAATTTGGTATTATGGGCGTTGCGTCTGTCCATGGAAGGCGCCAGCCAGAGCTTGTATGCTGCAGCGTGGCAACTATTAAATACTCTCCCCTCTACGTTTTATTATGTTCCATCCATGCTAGCTTGTGCATCATCCAGAGCACACAGACAACAGCTGAAGCATGCACTGCAGTACTGATTCACATGACATGACGTGTGTTGTCGTTTTGTGGGCAGACACCTGTTTGGTTAGATTACTGATGTTGTGCTGAACAACTGGTTTTTCGTTTACATGAGATGTCCCGTTCATATGTCATGGGAATCTCCAGGCTGCGGCTTACTGTAGAATGGCTAATTTTAGCTTGTAAATCTTTTAGCGTTTTCTGATTCGGGACCAATTCGCGATGAAATATTTTAGCGATATGTGCTTCAGAGTTTAAAAAAAGACGTGACTAGTACTGGATCGGTAGTACATGCAAAATTCCTTGTAGCGTGGCAAAACTTTAGCGAAACAATCCTTTTGCTGAAGTCAACAAACTATCACCAGCACTGAAGTAAGTCGTTTTACCGTAGCTGAGTATTTGTAGTACCCGTACACTGCAATCGGCTACGCCTGTTGATGGTATGTGTGTCTGCAGACATGACCGGGAGTTACAGTCTGTTGTTTTTTCACTGCATTGCAGTGACCGATCGGACGCCTGCCAAAGAACGTCCAAGCTAGCCCGAAAGTCTTCAACATGCCAGGCTGGGAGCAAGGATTCAGGAACACGAGTGTATTGTTCATGTAACGCTGCACACTAGTACACAATGTACCTACTATGCTGAGTGAACGCCACAGCTTGGTCTGTAGTACTGGCTGCGGCTGCTTTGCTGGCTAGAGCAACATGCGTAACTATACAGGAGGAGAAGGATGAAACTCAAAACTACCAACCACCCTCCCCATGGAAAAAAAGGAGAAGAAGGCAGACACATGCATGCACGCTCAGCTAGGTCGACCTGCTGGTCATAGCCTATTTTCATTGAGCTGTGCCTCTTGCTGTTCACTCCTCCAACCGATTCCTGTGCACTGCAGCATGTGGCGGTTCTCAATTCCGGTGCAATCCGGGTGTTGTACCAGCAGAGTGCATAGGCGCCCTTCAACGATGTGACGGCCAGAACGATTGCAGTGGCAACACCGATGAAGCCGGTTGTGGTAAGTTGCATTAGTGTGTGTATAGATTCTAATGGACCCTATATTATTAGTGTCTAGTGCACCCTACATATTAGTGTGTGTATAGATTATAGTGGACCCTGCATATTAGTGTATAGAGATTCTAGTGGACTCTACCAATGATTAGTATGTATAGATTGTAGCAAGAGTATATATGCCCCCAAGAGTGTTCAACTCTGCATCTGGGGTCTCCGACGGGGAAAACTCACATCACGTGTCTCAAGTAAATTTTGTTCTTCGTACAACTAAGGATAGCGTGCGCGCAATCCGAATATCTGCCATGATTATGCTGACGAGTTGCATACGCTCAGTGAGTTTCTGTCAGAGAGTGCTTTTATTATTACTCTGCTGCTCGCTAAAAACGGGCTGGAAACGTACAACTGCGACACTACATCGGTGAACCCCATAGAAAGGGTATCAGCCTCGATTGCTGACTCTTGAGCGGTTATCTACTCTTGATTATAGTGGACCCTACATATTAGTACGCGTAAATAATAGTGGACCATGCGGCTTTGCAACTACAGTTGAACATCGATTATCCGCACATCGTCTATCCGACCATTCGATTATCCGTAACAGTTTTTTTGGGCGCACGTGCCGTAGAGTACGCACTGTGCATGTAGTGAGCCATTCAAAAAATACGAAAATTTTGAAAAGTAGCACTCTATTCTATTTACAATGTACATGTACATGTATTTACAGTGTGTTTTCTTATCCGGAACATTTGCCTTATCTGAATACCGCGTGACAGTTGTCTGCCCAGAGGTGGTCGGATAATCGATGTTCAACTGTACACCATGTTGCACAAAAATGTGCCGTGTGTGCATGTGCATGTACATTGCTACAGTAGCGACACAGCAATGTCGCATTAGTCGCAGCGAAGAAGACTTGGTCGTGTGGTGGTCATGTTACTATTGTTTTGCTTTATCCACTGGACACCAAGTACTACACCCAGGCCAAGGAGTTTAGAGTCTACCCTGTCAATTCTGCCCAAAAAATGGAATCTAGCTTAAGCGAATGGATGCAGAAGGGAATCTGGCAATATGCCTCCAAGAGGGTGTGTGTGTGTGCGTGCGCATGTGTGTTTGTGTGTGTGCGCGCGCACACCCGCGTGTGTGTGTGTGTGTGTGTGTGTGTGTGTGTGTGTGTGTGTGTGTGTGTGTGTGTGTGTGTGTGTGTGTGTGTGTGTGTGTGTTAGGGATTCACTGGCCAGAAAAATCCACCTCAAATAGCTGTGTGGTATAGACCAGGCGGAATAGTGGTGGTCAAATATTCAGCCTTGCAAGCTGTTGAATGGTGCAATCCCAGCACAAGTTAATTGCTATGGATTCCACTGCAGCATCACGATGGGCGTCAAAAGGTCAAAACGTTGTGTGTGTGTGTGTGTGTGTGAGTGTGTGTGTGTGTAAGTTTGTGTTTTGGAGACCCGTCAATGTTTCCGCATCTTGTCTTGACTTGTCTATCCTGGCAAACTGCAGCCGTGCAGGCGTGTAACCGCACGTCACACTTCCAGTGTACAAGCGGCGATATGGAGTGCATCCCTGTGGCTTGGGTATGCGACGGCGTGGTGGACTGTGAGAGCGGCAATGCAGATGAGATTGGATGTGGCACTGCTCGACCTGCACCAGGTATGTACCGTTGGTCACGCCCTGTCATTGTGTGTTCCAGTGGTGGGTATCTGGAGGGGTGTGTGTGTGTGGGGGGGGGGGGAGGGTATGTCATGCAGTGTATCATACCTATGCTGTGCTATGCATCCTAGAATTGTGTTCGACCGGATTGTTCAGTGGTCTCACACCAGGTATGTGCGCTGGTTGTGGGTTTCTGGAGAGGGGGGGAGGGGGGTATGTCATGCAGTGTATCATCCCTATGCTATGCTATGCATCCTAGAATTGTGTTCGACTGGATTGTTCAGTGGTCTCACACCAGTATCGTCATGCACATACTAATACATGTACACCCGTCAACGTCCTTCACAGCTGAGACTTTCAGCTTGTGCTTGTCTAGGTTGCGTGCACCCTTCTCTCCCATTTTAATTGTACTTATTACTTTAACTTTGAACCTTCCAAGTTTGGAAGGCTGTTGGTGTGCGCTTCCAAGACGTGCTAGGGCTGATTGGCAAATATTTAAGTAACTGGTGGTGTTAGTCCGACATGATGTCGTAACGTGTAGTTCCTTGGTCCTTTTCTTTCCTATACATTGTAAATTTTTATGCATAGCATTGAGTGGCAAGTAGCTGTGTTGATAGTACTTGATATAGCTGCCAACATGTCAGTGGTCTGCCGATTTTGGGGGCATATCATGACCTACCGACAATTGACCTTAATCCTGCCGACAACAGCCAAGAAAATATCAATTTTGATCCTCTGCTTGGTTTAGAAGTCATGATCCAGAATTTTTTGCTGTACTGGTCATCATGAGTGCTTCCACAGTTCTCTCCGAAGGTGCTAAGCGAAATCATCATCTATCTCGGGAAAAATCAAAAAAATAGGGCTTGAAAGTGCTACATCTCAGCATTGCAACAATTTCAAAAATTCAAAAACTGGATCCACTTGCATCCAGTTTTTGTATGGATCCAAGCACATATCAAGCCGTCTTACTCACAGCAAGGTGATGTAGCCAGTGAAACTGACTGATTTGGCTACTGGGGGCGGGGTTACAACTGGTGGCGAAGTAAAAGTCACGCCTGCATACGACATGAGTGGGTTGCTATGCACCCACATACTGAGGCAATAGCAAAGTCACACCTCAGTGGATCCAAAATAGAAATCTGATGTCAAATTACTACTCCCTGGTCGTTTTTGACGTCATCACTTTCAAGCCCTATTGGGAAGCAGACCAAGGGCATGTTCGATTGGTAAGGATCGGGATCAGGATCCAGATCTCAAATCCATCGGATCCTTCAGATTCAACTGAGCACTTTATTTTGGACCTTGACTGTTGGCCATGTTGACAATGGCGCTCACAAATCACCCAGAAGAGTGAACGTCGTACTCATCACCTCCGTCGTACAAAAAAGTCAACAAGCTCTATCTCCATCCACGTGTGCGTATCACAATGTGTACAAAAATGACTTTTACCCGCCATATACGCACAAAGGTCACATTTGGATCCCGGCGTTCGGTCAACCCTGCTCCCCGAGGTGGGTTGACCGGATCCAAATCCGAAGGATCCGGATCCAGATTTGACCAATCGAAAGGGTGCGAAACCAGTGGATCCGGTGGATCGGGATCCCGATCCTACCAAACGAACATGCCCCAAGTCTCATCCTACTAACATTTGGCTAAAATGATTATGGCAACACTGCAAGTAGTGCTAGTTCATATTAACCTCTTTAGCACGACGCTACCTGAAAAAGTCACATTCTCCCATGAAAGTACTAGCTGTTCAAGGATCGATAACTTTACCTTCTCTTGGACGAATTTCACGATCTTGAGCTTCTTGGAAAGGTCTTGAGACGAGGAACAAAATGGTGTGAAACCCAGCTCGGAGGGAAACCAAAAACCCGAGCGTCAGTCTGGCAAACTTCATCCACGCGCTCGACAGACTTGTGCACGACCAAGACTAACCGAGCTCAAATATTCAGCTGCCATTTCGGTCTCCTTGCTCGCATCGAGCTCAAATTTTTTGTGAGAACTCACGAGACCCACTACCATCATTTGAATCTGATTTCCCTGGCAGCAGGTAGCGCAAAAATGATCCAAAATGGAAATTACGCGTTCTGCAGACTGCGCACGAAATCTACTTGAAAATTGCCGTGTCAAGTCGCATATCTCTTGGGCGATTCTTTCTATCGCCAGCTGAGAGTTTTATTTTGCAGATACAGGAAATATTTACCCGGTATTGCATTGCAGGTGGCTACGCAGTTCTTTCGAGGTGCGAAGCAACTTTTATAAATGCGGCGCAGAAAACTGCGATACATGTTGATTCTCCAATGTACCCTATGATGCATAGTGTACATGCCAGGCGTGTCTCTAGGAATGAAATAGGTGCACACAGCTTCGAAAGTGTTGAGCTATGCCTCCTGGCACCCTGGTTAGGTTTGCAACTAAGTACTTGTGATCTGAGCTTGCACTCTCATCAGCTCTGCAGAAGGACAGTGTTGTCAAATGTTGAAGAAAATTGCTATGTAACTTTTTCGAATTCTATTCAAGTTTGATTATGCGTAGCAACTATGCAAAACAATGAAAGTAAATTATTCCCCGGCTGACTGATACATGTTTTGATTGTGAGAATTGACTAAGTATTGACTGAGTTACGATAGTTTGAACGAGCCACTATGGACTTGGTACGGACCCCACGACTATGAGATGCAGGTTCACTGTACAGTGTCGTAGTAGTACGACGGGTGTGGGACACATAACTCGTGTGCGTCGTACTAGTACGACGGGTGTGGAACACATAACTCGTGTGCGTCGTACTAGTACGACGGGCGTGGAACACATAACTCGTGTGCGTCGTACTAGTACGACGCTCGCGCTAAAGAGGTTAAGCAGCAAGCAGTGCTAGTTGGTATTGAATGAAAAACCAATTCTTGCCACTCCATTCAAAGCTTCTCAAATGAGGACACAATTGCACAACCAATATCATGTACATTTAATGAATGCGGCTGTAGCAAAGCGGATTCTTTGCATTCTCTTGCCTTCTGTTATCATATCTGGTTCACTTTGGAAGGTCTTACATGTCGCAGTGGTGAAATCAAGTGCACAGACAATGCCCGCTGCATCCCATCTGAGTGGCGATGCGACAATCAGGTGGACTGTCCCGACCGAAGCGACGAGATGAACTGCGGACCCATAGCAAACAGCACGGCCTGCTCTAATCCAACATTTATGCCGTGTAGCAACCAGAGGCAGTGTTTCCCTCCGTACTTCTTCTGTGACGATCAGGTTGACTGTGTGGATGGAAGCGATGAATCAATCGCCACTTGCGGTGGCAGTAAGTTGGTCTTTGCGGCTTCACAATCTAATTCCTTGGTGCATTGTTGATTCTGCATTGATTGTCTGAATCATCACACCTTGTCTTACGCGCATGTCACAAACGATTGCATGCTTTATGTCTTGTGCAAGATGATGACCATTTTATCCATGCATGTTTCCAGTATCCTATCCAGTCGATGTCGAAGTACGATATTTACCAAAATAATCCAGCCAATGCTGCATGCATCGTAGTCGACTACCATGTACAGCACTGTTGGAATTTTTGGCGAGTATTGTATTTGGTACGAACTTGGATGTTCAACCAATAGTAGTGTTAATAGAAATGTACCTACAAGTCACTAGTTAAGACTACAGTCCACCAAGTCTGACTGTATATTATCTCGTTACCTTGGTTACCTTCGTGGACTGTTAGTCATAACTAGTAACCGATTGTTCTTTTCTCTTATATTGTTGTATGTGGTGTCACTGATGCCTATGCTGCTGCCATTGCCGCCGCTACTATCGTTGCTGCTGCTGCTGCCGCTGCTGTTTACCCTACAGCACTACGTCCAACTCTCACCTTCCCCCCACCACCTGTTTGTCCTTCTGGAAATCTCGTCGACTGTGATGGTAAAGACCTGGGCATGGCCGGGGTTCCAGGGGTAATGTGCCCCGCTTATACCCCCGCTTGTATTGACCAAACATACACCCACGCACACACATATACTGTTACAATGTTAGGACCTCCAACACTGCGAGTGATCATCTTTGCTGCTGGCTTGTCGCTCCCGCAAATCACTTTGACGAGGTGTTGGGGCAAGCTCCGTCATCACTGACAAGGGAATCGTCTTCAGATTGAAGTGAAGAGTCGGGTTCTGGTATCGTGCATGTGACGTCATAGGAATTTCGGTTTGTATGCCCAACACACATTGACATCCATGATAATCGGTTTGCCATACAGTTTGGATGATTTGAAGTCACTCCTCAGAAAATCGAAGTTTGTTATTATCAGCACTACACTGCTTTGAAGGATAGCAAAAAATGGCATGATTCAGGGAAATGTAGAGTCCTTGAAATCCAAATGTGTCTGTCCTCTGCATGTGCAGGTGCTCCTTTGTTCCTTCTGCTCAGTGTCACCAATGAGATTCGTCTTATTGAGTTATCAGATCGTACCAACCAGATTTTCAATGCCATCGTTACCGGTGGCCAGGATATCATCCCCCTGGGTTATGTACACAATGACAACGGTGTCAGCAGGGTAAGAGCATTGCCCTTCCTCTGCTATGCCTGAGTTCACCCTCTATTCTTTGACTCCGAATTCTCTCTCTTTTTCTAGCTTTCTCTTTCTCTCTTCTCTCTCTCTCTCTCTCTCTCTCTCTCTCTCTCTCTCTCTCTCTCTCTCTCTCTCTCTCTCTCTCTCTCTCTCTCTCTCTCTCTCTCTCTCTCTCGTTCTCCCTCTCTCTCGTTCTCCCTCTCTCTCGTTCTCCCTCTCTCTCTCACTCTCTCTATCTATCTATCTCTCTCTCTCTCTCTATCTATCTCTCCATCTCTCTCTCCATCTGTCTATCTATCTGTCTGTCTGTCTGTCTCTCTCTCTCTCTCTTTCTTTCTTTCTTTCTGTATCTATTTATTTATCTATCTATCTATCTCTACCCCCTCTATCTCACAGCCCCTCCATGTGCCTGTATAAGATTCCTCAACTGCCGGTAGAGTGCTGTACCTCTCCTGCTGCTGCTGCAACTACTGCCGCTATTTGGTACTTAGCTTTAAACTTGTGAATGCTGCTCAGTTTCTCCTCTTCCCCTGCTGTTGCCGCTGCTGTTGCCGGTGCTGTTGCCGCTGCTCCTTGCAGGTCTACTATGTTGACTTCACATCAAATGAAACACAAATCCACACCACCACGCTGGACTTCTTAGGTGGCTCGCCCGGCGGCGCCGTTCCTAAGAGATTCCTGCAGGGTTACACCGGGGAACCTCAAGGCTTTGCTGTTGATTGGATTTCCAAGCTGCTCTACTGGACTGCTACGAACCCAGGTGGACGTGCAACGATTGAGGTAGCTCGTCTAGATGGCACGTGGCGTCAGATTGTCCGAGTGCTCGATGAGAATGTTGTCCCCGGTCACATTGTTGTGGATCATTTGCGAGGGTGAGGACTGAGGAGGCATGCAGATGACGTTAAATTAATATGACATGAGTAGGCATACGTGTGTAAGTGTGTGTTTGCATACGTGAGTGCGTGCATGCGTGTGCGTGTGCGTGTTTGGTAGGCAACACCCAACGGTTGGCACAGAAATTGTTGTCATGCATCTATTTCATTTCATTTCTGCTGCAAGCTGCTGTAATTTATTACTGTGCAAACACTCCTCCTCCCATTCTCTTCCTCCTGTCTCCCCCTCCTTCTCTTTTGTCTTTCCTTCCATTCACTGCGTGCTCACCACCTGCGGTTGCTATTGTACACGTCTTGGTGAAGTTCTTTATGTTCTGATTTGGGTCCTTTCAGATACATCTTCTGGGCTGAGCGCTTCGTAACACCTCGTGTCATGAGATCTGATGTGTTCGGCAAAGATGTCTTTACCGTGTCACCACAACGGAACGAACCTCTGGGCACGCCGTCTGGATTGGCCATCGACGTAGAGAATCAACGCCTGTACGTCTCAGATCGTTTGAATGGTAACATCGAGAAGTTGAGCTACTCCGGTTCTCGTGAACTTCTGTTTGTCCGCGAGAGAGTGGATAGGATCCGCTCACTGGAGTTCTATGGTGATGCTCTGTACGTAACGCAGCTAGGCGCAACCAGTGTCAACGAAGGCCAGCTCCTCCGTGTCGATCTTCGAAGTGCAAACCCAGTCCTGGAGCTGGTCCGCAGCACTCTGCACGACCCACAGGATGTGCGCGTGGTCTTCGCAGCGGCTCAGGCTCCAAGTAAGAATGGCAGACGTTATGCATGGTGCCGTGGTGTACACTCGCATACAAGCACCTGGATGATGAATTTCACAATGCTAACTGGCTTGTGTAGGTGTTTGTTACTCAGCTGTGTAAAACTGAGACGTTGTACTGCCTTCTAGAATGTGTGCTTGTCACTACTGTTGCTGTCTTTCCGTCTGTGTTGCATCATCTAGATCCCTCACATCCATGCAGTGTTGACAACGGTGGCTGCGAGGGGCTTTGCTTTGCCTTTGGATCCACTGCCGCCTGTTCCTGCAACCCCAATCCCACGAAACCGTTCTTGGCCAGCAACGGACGCAACTGCTCAGCAGGTGAGTGCCATGTGGAGTGTGTACGGTAACATGTGCAGTGTGTACGGTAACATGTGCAGTGTGTACGGTAACATGTGCAGAGTGTACGGTAACATGTGCAGTGTGTATAGTAACATGTGCAGTATGTACAGTAAAACCTGGGCTAAGCGATGTTAGTATGACAGTACTTATCATGGCTGATTCAGTCTAGTAATCACATGTAACGCGCATTGACTTCTGTCACGGGTGGCATAGCCTTTGGGGGTGGTTTCCCCACAGCAACCTCTGGTATTAGCGACCACCTGACTTAAGTCACCAGTCACCATTTTCCTGCACGAGTAGTTCTGCATAGAAGCTGTACCGGAGACATTGACCACCTGCGTTGCATAGCCAGCAGACGACTTTTAGTACACCAAGTGCCATACCTGACCTGGATACAGCAACAGCAATTTTCTGTCCAGACTGACATGCTGACCAAAAGAGAGCTGAAGAGAGCTCAACAGTGAGTGCATGCATTATGGCAGTGACAACTGACAGAGCAGGGGCCACTGCATGCACTTGAGTGAGGTGTGAAAACTCAGCCGGAGCTCTTGGACCAATCATGTGACAGGTCCTGAGCCCCTTCCCTGTGTGCCCTTTAAATGTATTTTGCCTGTACGCGTGTGTGAGCCCCTTCCCTGTGTGTCCTTTAAATGTATTTTTGCCTGTACGCGTGTGTGTGTGTGTGCCTGTCTGTCCGTGTTTCTGTCTATCTGTACGTGTGCATGTACACGTGTCCAGTTCCCAATGTGCGCACCACGCAGACAGGTCAGGTGAACGTTCCCGAGGGCAGCAATCTCTCCCTGAACTGTTCGGTCACCAACTCTCCCTACTTGGACGTGGTCAGTCTCATTTGGACGTTCGACGGCAACGATATCCGTGACGCCTACGTGCAAGTGAATGATGGCCCGAATACCGTATCTGTGCTGTCGGCAAGCAACCTTGGTAGCAGCGGGACATACCGGTGTGTGCTGTCGTACCGACGCAATACCATGCCAGGAACTACATCCACCGCTGGCGCTAGTCTGTTGTCCAGCTCTGACGCTGTCGAAGCCAATTTGCACCCTGTTTCAAGTGAGTATGGGAAATACGGTACTGATATGCCAGGAACTACATGCAGCACTGGCTCTAGTCTGTTAGAGCCTATGCAATTGCATGATCAGATAATATGCTTTGTGCGGTGAAGCGGCCGCTTTGCAGCGGCACACTCCCCCCCCCCCCTCCTTGCCGGGTGAGCGTAAAAGTGAATAAACTATTTAGCGTTGTGTAGACAAATCTGCTCGCTCGCCAACATGACCTCATTTGCATTGCCCATGTTGGAGAGGAGGAGGTGATGTGCTTCTAGTAGCCTTCTACATCCCTCTGTAAAGTGGACTGAGGAAGCACAATAATATAGTGGTAATATTTCCACTGAAACTCGCCCAAAGGGTGCCCGGTAGACCGAAGTGCCGGTAACTTCGGGGTCCGGATAACCGAGGCATGAGTGTAGACTGGAGAGAATAATGAAGGTGCCGTCTCTAAATGCAACGAGAGAGATAAAAGTGCATGCAATATGTAGTGGCTGGCGTAAATTTCCCCAGGATGTAGCTGTGTCATACGCACACGTCAGTGGAGGGATGGGTTGTGTGAACGGCTACAAAGAGTTAGTAAAAGGTGCTTTATGCACCTGTGTCCTTGTTAAGCCGCCGGTGACCCAGTGTTAGTGTTTTAGGAGATAGTCGCATGATCAGTAGTGACGCACAGTAATGCATTGACTAAATAACATGTGTGTTTGTCTGTGTGTCTGTCTGTTTGTGTGGATGGGACGTGTGTGGATGTGTGTATTTGCATGGGCAAATTTGTTTGTGTGTGTACGTGTGCGTGCTCTCCTGGATCTATGAATGTCCCTGTCATTTGTGACTGCACTGGTTGGCTGTGCCTATGGCTGAATGTGCTTGTAGATGGTAAGTTGTGATAGTGCAGCCTTGAACCTGCAGAATCAGAGAATTCCCAGTATTATCTTATGCTGTACATGTATGTTACCAAAATTCTGTGCATTGTGCACAAAGTGCTGAAGAGTGAGGGCCCTTTGTATTACTCATGGGTTAATTGATCTTTCCAGAAAAAAAAAGAGAAAAAACTGAACCATCCACCTCCACACTGTGCTCTTGGCCCACAAAAAGAAAAAAAGAAAAAGTTGATGGTTTGCTTCTTCCTGGGTTCCTGGGTTCCTGGGTTCCTGGGTTCCTGGGTTCCTGGGTTCCTGGGTTCCTGGGTTCCTGGGTTCCTGGGTTCCTGGGTTCCTGGGTTCCTGGGTTCTTCTCTAATATCTGAATGTACATGTACAGGCACGCAGTTTTATGGCATGTAACTTGTGTACAGACATGCAGTCATGTGACATATACAGGCATGCAGCCCTTTGACGTGCAATCCTGACAGGATTGTCTGCGTTGGTGCTCACCTGCTACTTTGCCGTCCATGCATGTTTTTTTGTGCTCCGTTGCTCAGACTCCTCCAACACCACCACCATCATCATTGCCGTCGTCGTGTCCTTGGTAGTTGTCGCCATCATCGTTATCGTCATCGTCTTCCTTGTCGTACGGTCAAGGTAAGGGGACCAGCCAGGGAATTAGCCGCATGTAACAGCTAGTCTGTACAACTGTGCGGTGAAGGGTTGGTGTACGAGTACGGACGGGTACAGGAAACCTCCAATAATCCAGACGCCCCTAATCCGGGCATGTCTGTCTACCGCCGTACCGGGCACCTTTCTGACCCATCTAGAGCCACGGAAAATGGCTTTTCAATGCAAACGGCCCCAGAACACTATTGATTGGCATAAAACTGTTCACTTGCATGCAGTAAGTATGTTTTGAGTTACGGGAAATTGCTAGTTACGGCCAGACCTCGGTTCCAATCTGCCCGGATTGGGGGAGTTTTACTGTAACGGTATGTGCTGGTAGGTGGAAATTGGGTGGGTTTGTAGTGTGATATGCATATACGTATATGCTAGCAAGATACATGTGGCATACGCACTCTGGTGGTCTCCGTCTTATTTGTCCGAATACCATTGTCAGTGCTTGCAGCAGACTTGTGTTTTCGTCCGAATACCATTCATTGTCGGTGCTTGTAGCAGAGTTTTGTGCTGTGTGTGATTGGGCTGCTGTGCAGGAGATCATCGGCATCCACTACATTTGGCAATCCGATGTACGGTGGGAACAAGACTGGCGACGATGAGGTCACCATTGTCCGCACAACTAGTGCTGCCTCGTCAGTTGCTGATGGGGTATGTGCTAACAACATGTGATGATGTGTTTGCAAGTGCTGCCCCCCCCCCCTCATTATACCCCTCCTAACTACATGTATGTCTTTCATAATGATATTGAAGAGCTGCTAAACTACCCGTGACTCTGGACATTGTAACCCACTAACGGCGGATACATGTACCAACCAACCAGTACACCGTTGGCAAGGTCCTTTACACAGCTCTCTCGTGATATACCAAAGGTCCTTTACACAGCTCTCTCGCGATATACCAAAGGTCCTTTACACAGCTCTCTCACGACATACCAAAGGTCCTTTACACAGCTCTCTCACGATATACCAAAGGTCCTTTACACAGCTCTCTCGCGATATACAATAGGTCCTTTACACAGCTCTCTCACGATATACCAAATGTCCTTTACACAGCTCTCTCACAATATACCAAAGGTCCTTTACACAGCTCTCTCACGATATACCAAAGGTCCTTTACACAGCTCTCTCACGATATACCAAAGGTCCTTTACACAGCTCTCTCGCGATATACCAAAGGTCCTTTACACAGCTCTCTCGTGATATACCAAAGGTCCTTTACACAGCTCTCTCACGATATACCAAAGGTCCTTTACACAGCTCTCTCGCGATATACCAAAGGTCCTTTACACAGCTCTCTCGCGATATACCAAAGGTCCTTTACACAGCTCTCTCTCGATATACCGCCAACATTTGTTGTGATAGCAAAAAATGAAAATTGATCTGCGACAAACTGTGGCGATAGCTGGTTCCTTTGCTAGAGGCTGTTACATCACACTCCCCATCTCACTGGTGCACAACTAACCCAGATGGACAACACACATACTTAATAGGTGCTACAGGGAGCTGTCAACACAGCGCATGACAAAATCGAACATGCTTGTAACGATCCTGTCGTGATTGTCTTGCCTACTGTGCAGGGCAACGGAACGGCCATCTGATGAGACCGTCATGCAGCCGGCCTGCACCATAGTCGTCAGCCGCTATCACACACCGCAGCCGTGACTCTCACTCTATCTGCACACACGATGCTTAGACAGGCACTTGTGTCGCATATTTCCGGTCGGATTTCACTCACTATGAGCTGGTCCGAGGGATCTTTATCGGGTGACCTGGTCTGGTGAGATGTCATCACTGATTTCTAGTTGCATTGTGGTGGTGGTGATGGAATCTACAAGTCACCTCTGCCCAAATGGCCAGGGAATCCAACCAGTTGTATGTAGAAAGTTTACCTGCTGCATTTGAAATATTTCACTTTGAGATTCACATGGCGTGTTATTCTTTCGGCTGTATGATATCTATTTCTGTGCTATCCAAGTTTCACCTGGCATATGCAATATGTTTGGTGCAGACTTTGCAAGTGCTCTGCGCCGCACACAATCATTCTTCCTAACATTATGTAAACCATTGACTGCATGTACCTCTTATTAATTTACTTCAAGGTAATTGTAGTAGTAGAGTAGTTGTGAAGCGTTTAGTCAGTTACTGCGGCACTGCTGTCTGTGCGTGCTTTTCTTCTTCTTCTTCTTTCCATTAATTCACCCTTTGTTCTGTGTTGTTGTTATTTATGGATGTTTGCTACCTTCGTGGGCGGATGTCCGCTTCCTTCACTCTCTCTCTCATTCTCTCTCTACACCCTGACAGAACACACGTGCACACATTGTGCAGGCTGTAGACTGAAATACCCGTTCCTCCCTTTCCCCCCTCCTCCACCCACTACCTCCTGTGTTAGACGATGACAGCCACCCATGATCAATGCGTGTACATAGCTTCTGTCGGTGTGTGCTGCTTTATCATGACTTGCGTGCGTTTGCTTATCTTTGCCCTCCTCGACCCTGTTGCCAGTACTAAAACAGTAGTAGTAGTGTGAGGGTTGAGACTGCATAGAGCTAGTAGTGTAGTGATCCTGTTTGTATGCATTGTGGCTGTAGTAGTTGATAGCTTGATACCCATAATGTTTTTAGAATGTGTTGGTGGTAGAGTCTGGTAGTTCTTTAGGCGTGCTGTTGTTGTATATTGCTCTTATTATTTTTCAATAGTCACAACAGTTCTACAGTGGAATTTGCAAACTGTGACGAGCCTGTGTGCACCAGCTTTTTGTGTCCTTTATCTGTGGGGGTGGGGGGTAAACGTGTGATATATTGCAGATCTGTATGACAAGGGACTAAGTGTATATACAGATATACAATTATACACCAGGATAAAAACCGAGGCGAACCCGAGGTTTTTACAACTGGTGTATACATCTCAAAATACACGAGGTCCCTTTGTTATAATATATTTATCCCTCTCCATATTCACCGTGTGTCGCCTCCAAATGGCCTGTTCCTCGCCGACAACTACTGCTAATTTCCCTTAGGGGCCTTCCGTAAATACCGATATTTATTTAGAGCCGAAAACTAGTCGTTTCTCTAGTTTTCGCTTCTAAATAAATATCTATGTTTACGGACGGTCCCTTAAATAGTGGTGTATTGGAGATACATGTATACACCACTATTAAAGGGAGGGCATGCCTAAAACTGTGGGTGTACAGTGAAACCTGTCTAAGGTGACCCCGCACTGCTGAGGGACGAGAAAAAGTGGTCGCCGTGGCCAGGTGGTCTTCATATCCAGGTTCAGTGGGTCATGTGACCATATCCACATGTGATACATGTACATCATTTTGATCAGTTTATCACAGTGCACACACCTATGCTACTCTAGCACGACATATGTGCCTGGGGTCTTCACTCCTCAGACCTGTCAAGTATCGACGGATCCGTGCATGCACCATATGTACATGTACATCTACACTTCCTGCACTGATGTGTAGATCTACCATGCAATGCGTACATTTACATCAAGGGTACATACCCCCCCCCCCCCGGGTTATGTACTCTATCAAGAGTACATACCCCCCCCCCCCCCCCCCCGGGTTATGTACTCTTGTTTACATGTACTAGCACTGTGGAACATGGTCGCGGGTGGTTGGTCGTCGGTCGCGTTGAGCGAGTGGTCGCCTTTTCCGAGCTGTTTTGAATGTGAATGCGTCCGTGACAAGGAAAAGTAGTCGCCATGGTCGAGTGGTCGCCATTACAGGTTTTACTGTATATGGAGCAAGGTACTGTAAGTGTACAAATGTTCGACCCATTCAAATTTCGGCCTCCCAGGGCTAGAACACATTTCGGCTGTAACAAATTTTCGGCCTGCACTGCTGCCGCCTGTATACACTGTCACACTGAGCCTTGCAAAACAAATTTTCGGCTGCAACAAATTTTCGGCCAAATATGATCAGGCCGAAAACTTGTACAGTCAGACCTCGCTTAACCGCACACATCTGTTTTCCACAAAAACATCCGGATAGGCCAGGGAACCGGATAACTGAACACACATACTGTATATGCATGTGGCATGTCAAAAGCAGCGACATCGTACATACATGCACTGGTACATGTAGACTACTTATTTTATAGACGGGTCCTATGCAGTACAACTAGCGGGCACAGTATGTAAAACAAGCGAGAAAAATGACAAATGCATGCAACTGAGTGCTGTCCGCATGCACCCAGCAGGTCAAGGACCTCATTTGCTTGTACAACTCCCTGATTCTAGCTTTTGCAAGCCACATGCAACCGGATACGACGAAGCTTTTTGTACATATTTTAACCAGTTTGTACACAAAATCATGCACCGGTATGCGGATCGCGAGGTCCGGTTATGTTGTATGCATAACATATGCTGCACATCGGTAACCAGTGATTTTCTTCCGGATGGCGAGGGATCCGGATAAACGAGGACCGGATAAGCGAGGTCTGACTGTAGCCGAAAATATAATTATATGCGCCGAATATTTGTGGACTTACAGTATAGAGTATCTTGTCTACAATTACAATAGCATACTGTTGCCTATACCATTACTATTGCCAGTATTGGGCCTTGAGAATGCCAAGTCACTGAGTGCTGTGCTGGGTAGTGTTCATCACAAAACATGTACTTCAAAGTATCCCAAAAGCAACTTGGTCAATACTTGACCGTTTTTGACAATAAAAATATCTAAATCAAAGTCTACTCAATCTGCGGACAGCATGCTGTTTCGTTCTTTGTGAACTCCTCAGTGCAGCACAGAGAAAATGAGGCCGAACCTGATAGCAATGAAAATTAAATTTCCAAAGCCAAAGCCAAAGTCTAAGAGGGAACTTGTATCACTCCAGCGCCGCAATCGGCGAAGCGATGGGATGTACTGTTGGTGAGGTACGATACTTTGAAGTAAAGTTGATAAATGAGTCACAGCGTACTCGGAAAGTGCGTCTGCCTGTCCCAGAGTTGGGGATTTCCCCATTTCCGCTGCCTGATTCTATGGGAACACAGATTCAAATCATGCTTGGGACGTGAGGCAATCTTCACAAAAAATTAAGATCGATAGGAGCAAGGAGAGTGAATTGGCCGATGAGAATCGATCTTCAGGACGATTCCAGTGCTGGAGCGCTGTCGCTGGGCTGCTACGCTGACATCATCGCGTGTGTCGACTTGAGTTTGTGCTCTAATTGTTCCTCTTGGCAAGATCTTTCCAGGTAGCCCAAGGTCGTAACAATCGCCGAGAGAGCTAGCTTGGAAGCTTATTAGGGCCCTAAGCTATGCTTTTTTGCCTAGCTCATCATGCATGTTATTAGAACTGATGGAAATGTGTTTTTTTATTGATTGGCTACCTCATTGTATTGCAAAACGTTTCCATCAGTTTGAATATGAGTTAGGCAAAAGTATTTGCAGACCTTTGTTCTTATAGTGTTTTACGTCGACCATGACGGCTACAATGCCAAACCATACCACAACGAACTGATCGGCTGCATAATTGTACATGTATTGCAAAAAGCTTCCATCTGTTTGAATAACATGCAGGAAGAGCTAGGCAGAAAAAGCATAGCGTAGGGCCCCGAGCGAAATAAATAAACTTTCTCTTTGCATTCGAGGGTAATACGACACCGTCTACCACCTTGATGACCTAGGCAAAAAAAGCATAGGGATGTTATGAATTTTTCATTTCTCCTATTTTTTTCAAGACATAACCTAGGATTCGAACCCGCACTAGTATTGCCCTGCATGCATTCCCCCGATACACTTCGCATACATACTCATTCTTCCCAGTTGCTTCACGTTAAGATCTTGCATTTGAAAGCCCTATTAGAATATTGTGGCAAAGCTGTCTTTGATGGTACGGTACGGGACAGGTACGGGATAGCGCCAGGCATGCCGACGGCACAAGCACACACGGAATTGAAGCTGTGTAGACCCTGGCTAGCACCAGACGTTACTGAAGTAACGTCTTTTGCATAGCTACGGGAATAAACTAAAGTTATGACTCGTTGCGTGTCCACATTTCGGAAAATTGTCGCAAATTTCAGTCTGTTTACGCTATACCATCACACCTTTTGGCCACTAGTACTTGTCACATATATATATAAACCCCTGTTTTGTCTACAGTAGACTTATTCCTGATGATGGGCCTTGCCCGAAAATTTGATCTTATGTATATCAATTGCAGTGTAGCCTAGAGACCGTTAGAGAGAGTGTGTACAAGGTGTGTGTACAGGATGTATGGATTCAATTTCAGTCTTTGATGTGATTAATCGGCCGGTGTAGGATTAAAGGTGGCTGGGGCGGTACAACTTTTTAAGCCTGCTTCATGCCGGGACTATCGGTTTTCACTTGTTCCGAGTTTGGTTGTGGCACAATCCTGCATATGTTTCTTGCGCCCAGACGACTTACACCGCTGTTCTGTGCGCTTCTCCTGCTTGTTCTTTCTCCTTTCTCTTCTCTACTCCCTGCCCCCCCCCCCCCCTGGAGCAGCGGAGCGGCAGTGGAACCCGGCCCTTAGGCAAAGGAAAATTGTTATGAATTTTGTTATGCAGCATAGATGTAGAGCTGCATACTCTGGCTTATGGACTCTCGCCTACACTACAGACAGTCAGTGTAGTCGTGCTGCTAGTGTACTGGCATTAGACGATCACATGCAGTATACTGTCTGGCATGGCAGGAGGACTTTTTCAGTAGTAATATTATTAGGACTAATAGTAATACTAGTAATAGGAGACCTACGTGTAGGAAGACACGAACAACGAGAACGTATGGCGAGAAAGCAATTACTGACTAAGAATTGATCTAGAACTAAATTGCTTACCGCTTCTCAGTTCTCCATACTACTGTACATTGTTTCTCCTCATTCTCTGCATCCTGGCCCCCAGGAGTCTCGTCCACTTAGCGGCTCAAATGCTTGAGTACGAGATCCGGATAGCGGAGAATAGCTCGTCGTCCATTAGCGGCTCAAATAGCATCAGGTCTGAAGTGTCGTAGTCTAGCAACTATGATTTGGGTAAGGGTTGCAAAACCCAAGGAGACCTGAAGCAGTTTCGTCTATCAAACAATTACCTTAAAAAATTGAAGAGGAAACGAGTGAGCGAGCTGGTCTGAGCGCGCTACTTTAAAAAAAACAGAAGCTGAAACTTTCGTTGTGAAAGCCATCAAACTAACTATTAAAAGTAACGTTACTTCAAAGTCGAAACATTCTGGCCAGCGCGTTTGTGTATCGGTATCGCACGAGCGGGTCACGTGATCAGAGCTGTTCCTTTGAACTGAAGCCATGTCACGCATGTGAAACGAGATTCATCCAGGGTGTGAAAATGTTTGGTAGCTAGCTTTACTCGATCGATCGCAGTCTCGCAGATCATGACGCTTGTTTAGTTTGGTTTTGTTTGGTTTTTATCAGGGAGTCGTAAAAGCCCGGGATCCCGCGAGAGGACACGGGATGCGCGCACGCGGACGATGTTTGCCTCGGCCAGAAAGTGAAGCACGCTAGGCCGGCGCGGCCGGATCTGCTCGATCCACGGCGCTGTGCTTGTCTTCAGGGCCGGGAGTCCTAAAATACCAATATTTTACAACTCGTTGTTGACACCATTATCCGAAACTGGTGGCGAAGGAAGCATAAACATGATTGTGTGTCTGTCTGTCAGACTCAGTACAGGGGGTGGGGAGTTGAGTGTGTGTGTGTGTGTGGGGGGGGGGGGGAGGCGTGTGTATGTGCACATGTGCTTGTACTTTTGTGTGTGTTTGTACAGTGTTCGTGTGTGTGCGCGCACGCGTGCGTGCGCATTTTTGTGCACAATTCCGTTATGAAGTACAAATGATAGGTTTACCTTTTGTACACTCGCCAAGACTTCGGTTAGATTCACTGAGAACATTTCTGGCCAACCTGGAGGCTGAGCCTTCCGTTTCCTAAACGGCTAAAGTCATCGCGTACTCAGTATACGAGTAGAAAAGTGTAGAAATTTTTAACAAGATCTATAAATAACGACCTGCAACCATGTACAATGTAGATAGATAGGGAACACACATTGATTGTTTTTAAAAGAATCCAGGCAATATCATGAATCATGGAACGAGTGCGTAATAATGCTCTATGTTGCGTTTTGACGATGCTGAAGGAAGGGAGCCTTTGCGATTCACTCACAACACACGCACAGAAGTCCACTCCACTGCAATTTCAGTGCAATTTCTGACACAAATTCATAAATCTACGAGTACGAGGAAGCTCAGCGGATCTCAACACGAACGTTCGCCCATCACCTGCAATGGAATATGGGCTGTATGATACGACCAGCGGCTAACACGGGAAGTGGCGTCATTTTCCACAAATCTCGTTTCATTCACAACCATTTGACTGCAATTCAGTGCAATTTCTGCCACAAATTCAACTCCACGAGTACGAGGAAGCTCAGCGGATCTCAACACGAACGTTCGCCCATCACCTGCAATGGAATATGGGCTGTATGATACGACCAGCGGCTAACACGGGAAGTGGCGTCATTTTCCACAAATCTCGTTTCATTCACAACCATTTGACTGCAATTCAGTGCAATTTCTGCCACAAATTCAACTCCACGAGTACGAGGAAGCTCAGCGGATCTCAACACGAACGTTCGCCCATCACCTGCAATGGAATATGGGCTGTATGATACGACCAGCGGCTAACACGGGAAGTGGCGTAATTTTCCACAAATCTCGTGTACTGTTGAGGCAACGAACTGAAATAATAAAAACCAGGGAGTCGTAAAAGCCCGGGAGAGGACACGGCACACATTCCCAGAAAATTGAAATTTGGTGCATCGTATATCTACTTGGGAGTAGTACGAGTCGTACTGTGCAAATAACCTACAGGATCATGGAAAGCACTGCGTGAAAAGTGCATAACAAAGTGAGATATAGTGCAGAAAACAACAAAAAAGCGCGGGAAATCGCAGATTTTCCTGAAAATCGCGGGTTTGGGCGAAAATCGCGAAATTTGTTGCATCCGTGGAATCGCGATTTCCTGGAGGGACAGGTAAACATGGTCAAGGGAGGAGGAAGGTTCCAATCAGCTGTCATGTGATTGAAGGGTCGAGCAAGATCGGAAAGAGCTTTGTCCATGGAATAACAGAACGTCAGTTTGTGTCAGATTTACTTGCAATTCCAGGAATATGGCTTTGCATTTTTGTTATAGTGTTGCCTATTGGGCGGTACGGAAATTAGCTGACTCCCTGTGGCTTTGGAGGTGCCCTTGAACGAAACCAGCCTTGACCAAGTGGCACTAGCAATTAATACTAGTTTTGAGAGTACATTGTAAGTGTTCTTTTTCGGAACAATGATACTTTTTCACATACAGCTGAGATGTTGTTCCCATTGCTGTCAGTTTACTTGAGGTCCATGTACATGTAGCTACACTGCAGGTACATTTGAAGTACATGTATTAACTGAATTATTCTGTAGGAGTTCGAGATACAATCTGATCTATTCCAGATGCATGTAGATAGCGTTGTGATGCATGTTCACCAGTCGACTTGTTCGTCTCAATTTAGTAATGCATGTTGTAATAGACGGGCTCTGTGTCATTCTATTGCCATGTGAATTGTTATAAATTACTTCTCCTATGTCGACATTGCTAGTAAAATATAATTGTTTTGGACGGTGCACGTACATGTATATCTAAGTAGGTAATCCACCTTACTGAGCGGAATTCCAGCCTTCAGGAAAGCCTCAACAACGTAACTCGTTGGCCCACCAAATAAGTTGAAGTCGGAAACAACAGCATCTTCCGACACAGCTAGCTTGTGCGACTGACCGCTTCCCGCCAGGTCAGACGTGCTTTCACTTGCAAAAAGATTTCCACGGAGCAGTTATCATGGTTATTGCCTGCTGGTGAAGTAGTTTCATCCGTTTCTTTCTCTCCTTTCCCTGCGCATGTCGCTGGCTATTCACATGCGCTTTCACAATGCTGTGCTTGATACTGATCATCAAGTTCAATTTGACAAGCTGTGTAGTAGAGTTTCCTAGCAGAAACTGAGAGGTACTCGTCCGGGAAATCTGCAATCCGATCGTGGGTGCTGCGGCGAGGAGCTGCGGTGAATTTTCCATCCGGCACTCTCACGCGCTTTGCCTCGGTAGATCTACCTGGCTCGAGTCGCTCGACTTTTCACTTCTTGCAAACGACCTTTTGCGGGCAATAGCAGCTGCTTGTGCTGCAGGAAGACTTTCGGCTGCCGCGTTCTTTTCCAAGTCAGAGCTTTCTAATTCCTCGCCGCTAACAAAGCCATCACTCTCGCTGCTCTCATCTTCTGTTTCAAAACCAGAGCCTGCGCCGCCCATGGCTGCCATCGGACCACCAGGAAACTACAGTGCTGGTAACTGAAATAATTAATTGATCACGTCCTGCAGCAAACCATGCGTGCTGGGTGCATGCCAAGTGTGCAGTGCGTTCACAGCTAGCTAGCCCCCGTCTCGACCCCGCAGGGTCGTGCAAACTTCAAGTAGTTGGTACAACTCGGGAAAGGCTGCTCCGATCAACCTCGGACCTTCAGTCTTCACCATAGCCATAGGCACATGTTTCGCTACAGGTTGTGAAGGGTGAACCTCCCCTTTGAATAGTCTCAGGAAGATCTCCTGCCGGTCAGTAGTCATTCCTGCTATCTCGCGAGCAGTTTATAGTTCGTCAGCTCAGCTGTAGGTAGGTCTACCTGGGCGTACCAATTGGTGCAAGTGGAACTTGGAAACGACTTCCAGGCCGCTAACAGTAACACTGTGCTGAGGCTGATTGCGTTCTTCCGTGTTTGCAGTACTTGCTGGTCAACGCGGTGAAAACCAGTGTGCCTCCACGTGACGACGCATTGTTAGTTCTATAATTAATTATAATTATAGATCCAGACTAGGCCTAAGGGCTGGATGTAACCAAGATATGGCGCGGTTACAGCTTCTTGCTTCTCTGGCCGCGTTGGCCTTCGCTAGCCTACTTTCAGGTAAGACCAGTATTAGTTTGTGCATGCTGTGATGTGACGACTTGTTACCAAGTCTTGTCGTTTTCAGACCTTTTGGTTTGGGTTTCCGTCATTTCCTGATGTCATCAATCAGCTTACCAGTATGTCTTTGGGTGATTCTGGGCCGCGTGCTTTCTACCTACCCTGACCATGCATGGACTGTGGACACTGCTCTGTACTGCAGCTAGTTTTCGACACCTTCGGAGCTTCGTGACATTGCGTTGCCTGATTCGTTCATTATTGTTTGGCGCTTGTATCGCCCGTGTGTTTCGTGTTTGCTGATGCAGTGGCCCTCACGCAAAACTGCCATGATACACCTGAGTTCGATTGCTATAATAACGATACGTATTGTGTATCGATAACATGGCGTTGCGACGGGAAAAGGGACTGCCCAAACGGGGCGGACGAGGACGACTGTGGTAAGCATGATGAGCGTCTTCTTCGTTCCTCTTTCACCTTGTTGCGGCTGACACAACGCATGGGTGTACATTTTTACATACTTCTCTGTTGTCTTGTCGTTGTTCTTAGTTTTGTATTGTCCCATGTATTGTTCAGTACAAGGCCGTGTGTCCCACACCTACCAGGGGCGTAGGAGGGGTTTTGGAAGTGGTACGACCAAAGATCGGCGCGGCCGAAGGCCGTTTTGGAGGGGGGTCCGGGGGACCTCCCCCGGGAAAATTTTGTAAAAAAGACGCAAAATCCTGCGTTCTGGGAACTTCTGGCACACTTCTGGCACAGTTTATAATTATTATAAGTCATAGAATTATTTCACGGGCAGAAGAGACGTGCATGGACATGCACAGATGCATGGCAGATCTACGAGTACGAGTCTAGAAAAAGGTCAAAGTCTGATGCGCATATGCATAGATGGATCCTGATTTTTTTATTACGGTTTTGCACGTTCCGGACGGACCACACTTTTCGAAAAGTGGTACGGCCATGGTCGTACCAGTCGTAGCGGGTGCTACGCCCCTGCCTACCTACGTTCCATTTGGATCCTCCATTGGTATTGTACACTTGATGTGTTGAAATTTAGTTTTGAGTAGCGGAATCGTGATATATCCGGATTTCGCACGAACTCAAGCTTGCAAGACGAATTCTCTGCTTAGATGTGTTTGCCGATGATCACCGCACCACAACATCACGCTTGCGGGTCGTGCAGCCTGACTGGACAACACTTCTTGCCAAAGAAATACATCATGACAACTCGCAACCGCATCAGGCAACAACTATCAAGACAGCAGCGGCAGCAATAGTATCGATATGTGCAGAAAAATCAACAGCAATGTGTGCTTCCGCTAAACAGAGGCAACCACACCTGCAAACAGCACACTATTTTGTTAGAATTAATAATCTATACTATCACTGCATACAAAGCACAACCATTCAGACAGCAACAGCAGCCAGCATCTGTAATAGTGACAGCATGATGCACAACATTCACACCAAGATGGGTGGGCGGGCGGGCACCCTTCCACTTGGCAAGAAGAAAAACGATAATCAGCATGCTGCTGTCCCCGGGGAAAATTGCGGAAAAAAATCGCAAAAAACGCGGGGAAAAACGCGGCATAATATGGCATAATTTGCGGTGAATTTGCGGTAAATATGCGGTAAATATGCGGTGAATAATATTGATGTGCGGCAATTTTCAGTGGGTATGTAGTGAAATCAATCAGTTACAAGTCTCTGGTGTAAGCACTCGTCATATTTGAGTAAAAAGCCGCCACGATGAGACGTTGCTGACCGAACAGTGCACTGCGTGTACGTGTAGTGCAACAAAAAACGCGGGAAAATCGCGGGAAAATCGCGGAAAACGCGGTCTTTTAAAAAATCGCACAAAACGCGGAAAAAAACGCGGCCGCGGAATCGCAATTTTCCCCGGGGACAGATGCTGGGCCAGCAGTAACTTTCACGTCACCAGCAGCCTGCCCTCATACCCATGCACCACGTGCAAAAAAGTCTACAGAGAACAAAATGTCTCGTTTATTTCTCAGCCAACGAGAAATAAACACGATTGCTTTTCACCGTGACCACAACAACACGCGCATGCTCCAACACTACATACACACAAAGTACACAAAACAATGCACTACAACAACTACATACTAATACACAGTGTACCGTAAAGTTGTGTATAAAAGCCGCGGCTTATATGACTTTTTGGGGGAAATTTTGCAGGCTTCTATATGAGACAGGCTTCTATATGAGACAGGCTTCTATATGAGACAGGCTTCTATATGAGACAGGCTTCTATATGAGACAGGCTTCTATATGAGACAGGCTTCTATATGAGACAGGCTTCTATATGAGACAGGCTTCTATATGAGACAGGCTTCTATATGAGACAGGCTTCTATATGAGACAGGCTTCTATGCAAGACGGTTATTTCTATCTATATCAACACTAAGTACACAAAACCAAAAACCAAAACCAGGCAGGCACAGTGGGTTGGTCAAAGACCATGATTGAGATACGAGAGGTACCTGGTTCAAGTCCTGCCTGGGAGCGGTTTTTCCAGCCGTGCTGCTACCCACAGTCAACTGGGAACTTGTGGCCAGGCACAAGGGGTACATGGATGCAGCTAATGGGGTCGTTTTCGGCACTTGTGCCAGTGGTTGTGAGACTTGCCCACTCACCCTCACCGTTAGGCGCTGCATCTGCCGCTAGGGTTTATCGGGTGCTAGCGGCCGTCGTGAGTTCCCTTCGGGAACGGATACGATAATTTACTTTTTTATTATTTTTATATCAACACTAAAACCAGGCTTATGTGCCGACAGTGTATCTTGAAAAACAGGCTTGTATTCAAAACCTGCTTGCATAATGAGACGGGCCTTGGCTTAGGGCATGTCCGATCGGTAGGATCGGGATCCCAATCCACCGGATCCACTGGATTCGCGCCCTTTCGATTGGTCGGATCCGGATCCTTCGGATTTGGATCCGGTCAACCCACCTCGGGGAGCAGGGTTGACCGGATCCAACGGATCCAAATATGACCTTTGTGCGTATAAAGTCATTTTTGTATACATTGTGGTATGCACACATGGATGGAGATATAGAGCTTGTTGATTTTTGTACGACGCACGCGATGAGTATGACGTTCACCCCTTTTGGGTGACTTGTGAGCGCCATTGTCAACATGGCAACAGTCAAGGTCCAACATGAAGTGTTCAGTTGAATCTGAAGGATCCGACGGATCTGAGATCTGGATCTGGATCCCGATCTTTACCAATCGAACATGCCCCAAATAATACAAGACACTACAGTATTTACTATGCTGAGTGAACATGCACACACACAAGAAAAAGAAAAAAACGGTTCACCAGAGTCTCAGTTAGACCTAGGGCGCGTTTGGTTGGTACGACCTAGAACAGGATTCACCAGAACAGCGCGTTTGGTTGGGACTGCACCTGTTCTGGGTCGGCCAGAACATGTTCTGCTTGCTCCGGCCTCGAGGCCGGAGCAGACCGAGCAGTTTCACTTTTTCACAGTGAAACCTGGCGGGAACATCGATTTTGGTCCCAAATGATCACGTGCATACGCTTTTGGGTTGGACTCGTTGCACCGTACAAAGTGACCATGGTGACCCATACACATTTTGAAGAATGCACCAAGTTTGGCATGTTTTTCACAAAAATGTGCTCTGTTTCTGGAGTACCGTTTGGTTGGCATGAGGCTGCTCCATGTGCACCAGCTGTTCGATCCTGTTCTAGACCGTACCAACGAAACGCACCCTGAGTTTTCAGCATCCGTAGGAACGCCACCACCCTGCAAACATCCAAGGCACAGAAGAAGAACAAATACAGTCAACCTCGTGAATAACGACAACTCGTATATACACTATCTTCAGACCTAGTGACTAGTTTGGCTACAGTCGTTCAACGTCACCAATAACGACTTTTTCTCCCGCACCGTTATTCGCAAGGCAGATTGTACGCTGGAACCTTTAGGATAAGAGCATTGCTATCCATAAGTGGAGACCCCATTCTTCGGCGCCCGATAATACTGTAGCCACTTAAGATGGGGCATGTGTGAAGCGGGATTCACAGAAGCTTTTTTTGCGATGCGATGGGCAATGCGATTTGTGACGGAGGCGTGCGATGCGAACTTGCGAAATACCATTCACAGAAGAAGTCAGCGATGCAACGGCGCCTAGCGGATTTGGCACGAAGTTAAATGCAGGTGGGTATGTCACCATGGTATTCATGTGGCTTCGTACAACGTGTACAAAGTTACAGGCAACTCTTGAACCTTTGTACAACTTTGCTGTAGAAAAGGTCAAAATCGTACACCAAATCCCTTGTCACATCGGGAGAGTTGAGCCAAGCTCAACTTCTGCGATGGCCCAGTTGCGGCAGTTGCGTGGGGTGCGAGATGGCTGCGATTTGGGGATTTCCCGGTTTCGCGGTCGTCTCATCGCGTGTCGCATTGCAAAAATGCTTCTGTGAATCCCGCTTCAGTCGTGCCATTCCGGCTTGAGTGGTGGTGGGGGGTAGCATCACCTTCAAGTATAATCTGCTTGTTGGAACCAAAGTTCATTGGGGTGTAAGATGCAGAGTTGATTTTATCTGGAGAGGTCCGACTGGAATACATGTGTTATACTGGCCATTTAGTGGAATTTACCACTAACATGAACTTCTGATACCAGTGGAAACACACCCTAAGTTATTTCCCGTAAATTAATGTTAGAAATGGGTCACATTGTATTTGCAATATAGATGTGTGGGCAAACAACTGCAAAAACGCCCGCTCATGTATTGGGCCGTTGATGCCTGTTTTGACAATAGCAGATACCGGGAAGCTCATTAGGGCTGATTGTGCAGCACTCTGCGTGTTGCGCCCACCGCTGCCACCATGTTGAGTTGGGCCTGTAAGCCACGCAGGGGTCCATTGCGGGACAAGACCAGGACTGGTCTATTTACAGAGCATGCACATTATTAAAAAAAATTTAATACAGTTTAATGCAGATGATAGAGAGACAATTTGGAGAGAGACAATGATGTGACAAACACTATACCCTGCAGTACTTGCTCCTCCTGTAAAGCAGAGCGTACTCTAAACCCTGGCTTGATGGTGTGGCGTAGCCCTGGTTAGACAGACGCACATAGCCACGGCTTAGTCTGCAGTACTGGCTGCGGCTGCTTTGCTTGCTACAGAAACATGCGTAACTATACAGGAGGAGAAGGATGAAACTCAAAACTACCAGCCACCCTCCCCATGGAAAAAAGGAAGAAGGCAGACACATGCATGCAGCTAGGTCGACCTGCTGGTCAAAGCCTACTTTCATTACGCTGTGCCTCTTGCTGTTCACTCCTCCAACCTATTCCTGTGCACTGCAGCATGTGGCGGTTTTCAATTTCGCTGCAATCCGGGTGTTGTACCAGCAGAGTGCATAGGCGCCCTTCAACGATGTGACGGCCAGAACGATTGCAGTGGCAACACCGATGAAGCCGGTTGTGGTAAGTTGCATTAGTGTGTGTATAGATTCTAATGGACGCTGTCGCGGCGACCTTGTCGCGCGATTTGTATCATGTTTGTGCCTGTTCTTGTTTCAGTACAAAACGCTAGTTCCATGCCCACGTTCCCGTGCTTTGTATGACTTGTTCTGGCCCACGTATGCATGACTGTACATGTACTTGTCAAGGCACGTGCATGCAGCACAGTTTGGCGCGCTTTTGCGAATGTGTTTTCTTCTCCCACGGTGGTGGGTTATGCGGCTCTTCTTGGACACGAGTGGTTTTCAGTTTTGTTGTTCTCTAGTATTATTCTGGAAAGAGCGATTACTACAGACTCCTTTGTCCTATGATGTGTGCCACCTGTAGAGGTGAGATCGGACTTGTGACCTGTGTTGATAAATCGAGAGATTGGGAATCCTAATCTTTCGACATGGTGCTTTAGTGACCAGAGATTTTCCTCAGTTTATTTAGTAAATTCCGACCAGAGTGATGGAGACTATCGCCCAGCTTGTAAAGTGTAGGGCAAACACGAAGCGACGACTCACACGCCTTCGCCACAATTTAACCCGGGAGCTTGCCAAAGACGCTCCATCACCACACTACCTGCTACGAGATTGGCAGCAGGCTGAACGCCTTGCAGCTGAAATCAATGCCACACAGGCTAGAATCCGCGATCTGACCGAACAGGCGGCTTCCTCGGATGTTGAGGACCGCCTGGAGCAACTCGACAAGTGGGAGTTCGAGTTCGATGATGACCTGGAAGTCCTGAGGGACGCACGTACCGTTCTACAGAGGGAGAACCCGTCCGGACTCGCCACAGCAGATGCGGAACTGGAGGCAATCGCCAACTCGAGTCGATCCAGTGCCCACAGCCCTCCCCCACGACGTCCCCAGCCGCTGCCTTGACCAGCGTATCCTTCAGCCCATCAGCAGTGGTGGTCCACTCCAAGGGTCCACCTTCCGCTCCTGCGAGCCCTCCTGTGACTGCTGTTAGTCCTGTCCCTGCTACTGGCTCTCCAGCCACTCCAGTCGTCCCGTCTCCGAATGAATCTTGACCAGCGTATCCTTCAGCCCATCAGCAGTGGTGGTCCACTCCAAGGGTCCACCTTCCGCTCCTGCAAGCCCTCCTGTGACTGCTGTTAGTCCTGTCCCTGCTACTGGCTCTCCAGCCACTCCAGCCACTCCAGTCGTCCCGTCTCCGAATGAATCTTGACCAGCGTATCCTTCAGCCCATCAGCAGTGGTGGTCCACTCCAAGGGTCCACCTTCCGCTCCTGCGAGCCCTCCTGTGACTGCTGTTAGTCCTGTCCCTGCTACTGGCTCTCCAGCCACTCCAGTCGTCCCGTCTCCGAATGTCTCCGAAACCCCCAGCGACCAACTCGTGCGGCAGCTGACAAGGCCCGGCAGAATATTGCAAAGTGGACAGCTGTATCGTTGCTGCACGTACACATCCCACACGCCTGATAAGTTTGACCGTGTCAGAGTGTGAGGATTAGCCGGTGCTTGGTCCAATTGGCAGTGACCTCACAAGCACATAAAACTCTCTGTATGCCTGTTTAACTGCTTGTTGTGTATGTGTGTGTGTGCGTGTGCGTGTGTATCTGCATTGCTTATGCTCTATAAGTTACCTCCCGGTGTACATTCCCGGTCGGCTGGAGTGTCGCGGCGACCTTGTCGCGCGATTTGTATCATGTTTGTGCCTGTTCTTGTTTCAGTACAAAACGCTAGTTCCATGCCCACGTTCCCGTGCTTTGTATGACTTGTTCTGGCCCACGTATGCATGACTATACATGTACTTGTCAAGGCACGTGCATGCAGCACAGTTTGGCGCGCTTTTGCGAATGTGTTTTCTTCTCCCACGGTGGTGGGTTATGCGGCTCTTCTTGGACACAAGTGGTTTTCAGTTTTGTTGTTCTCTAGTATTATTCTGGAAAGAGCGATTACTACAGACTCCTTTGTCCTATGATGTGTGCCACCTGTAGAGGTGAGATCGGACTTGTGATCTTTCGACAGACGCTATATTATTAGTGTCTAGTGCACCCTACATATTAGTGTGTGTATAGATTCTAGTGGACCCTACATATTAGTGTATAGAGATTCTAGTGGACGCTACATTATCAGTGTGTATAGATTCTAGTGGACCCTACATAATTATTAAGCTGCAGCCGCACTAGGTAAAAAGTATACGCATGTGCTATAAGTATAAATGCCGCTTTTTGGTATACGCCGTCAAGGTCACACACGAGAAATCTAATACGATCCATATATGTTCCAGCAAGTCGCGGCCCCTGTATACCCCTGTATACCCCTGTATACCCCTGTATAAGCAGCTTTTCCCACATGTCACCGTATCTTTTGATTTTCATGCACCTCTCAATACCAATGAATACTCATCTGATACGATGTTTTCCGGTGGTTGGGCTGGAACTATTCCAGGGATCGATTTACTTTGATTTTTTTGCATAGCAGTCACTGCTACACAGTTTTACAATTGACTAGCAACTCCCAGTATTGATTAGCAGTTTTCCTTCATCGAAAGTTTACATGTATATCTGTACAATAGCAGGATTTTGTACAGAAGAGGATAATAGCTGCAGTTGCTATTTTGCTTTTCCAAACGAACGGTTGACCTGAATATTTTACGTTAGGGTTTTCGCTTGGGCTTGTGATATGTTCAGCGGCCATCCAACTGCGAGTTCTTCACAACACAATGTCCTTCAACAGGGCAGTTCCACTGATTCCTTCAACAAAGAAAGCTCAGGAAAGCGCTCAAACGATTGTGACACTTCGTTCAAAGCGCACAGAATTTTCACTTTTCTCCTTCATCGAAACGAATCGACACTCCTTGCGCGTCCAGTTTTTTTTCCCGCTTTTGCGGACCAGTGATCAGATTCACTGACATGTTGGCTACATGAGACTAAGAACCATCTACTTCAACTGTCAGAAACAAACTGAATTGAGCTTGACAGTTGTTTTTACCTCTCGTCTTGATTCACCATTCCACAACCTGTTATGTTCGTTCGAGCTCACATCAACAAGCGACATTGGAGAGATCAAAATATTACTTGAGTTGTCGCCAAGTCAAAACCAAAACAACAATGATCCGTCATCACCAAAAACTCTAGAACAGGTACGGTAGAGATTCCCCCAAGGCAATCTCCCCACGTGACCTGATACAGATATTGTACGCACACATCACAATTCCCCTTTCCGCGAATATGTCCAACCTGGACATATTGACGAAAAATAAGCATGCAACAATCATGACAAAAAATATAATGAGAGAGAAACGCAATGATGCAGGTGTGGTATTGTGACAGTCAATGCTTGAATACTTCAAGTAAATGCTAGACAATGCAGAGATATAGTGGAAAGTCACCGAAAGCTATGCGCGTGCACAGAAGGGTTATCAGGAAATGCCGTACGTACTACAGACACTGCGACCAGTACGGAGTTCACAGCAAGATGACACTGTGTGCATTACAAATCCAAACGCTGCGTTGGATGTCGATGACGACTACCCCGTCTCACAGGCGTCGGGTGTTCAGGTGAAGCCGCCAAGGGGTTCTGAGAATCCGTAGGGCCAGAACCCGAAACTGTGGACGTGGGAACAAAAGCATCAGGCGAAGATGAGGTTCATGCCTGTGGCTCAGCTGCCTGTCGAAGAAATTTGCGATTCCGCCAAAGTACTCGACCACTTGGTAGCTTTACCTGGTACTTCCGATGTTGACCGACTGCGACTACTTCGCCGGAAGAATTCCAACGCTTGGACTGTGCATCTTGGAGGAGAACACGTGCTCCCACCGTAAGGGCTTGCAATGGCTGACTAGCGGTTTCGCGACGAGCTGCTGAAGAAACTGCTGCTGCTTCCTTGTCAATCCGGGCTGCTGAGCGTTGCCAAACGTGTGGGAATGAACTCCGGTGGGCGGGCACCAACGACCGCAATGGATGTCCAAATAGAATTTGTGCGGGTGATAATCCCCTTCCGTCGGAGTGTTGCGCCATTCCAATAGCGCAGCGTCAAACTCTTCATCATTCAAATTACCATTCTGCGTTGATTTTGCGACCAAGTGTTTCATGGCTTTAACTGCTGCTTCGGCATGCCCATTTGATTGGGGGTTGTCAGGGCTTGACTGGCGATGACTCACTCCCCACCGGCCGAGGAACTGCGCAAATTCCCATGAACTGAACTGTGGACCTCCGTCCGAGCGAAACTGAACCGGCACCCCAAGTGACACGAAATTCTCACGGACCACTTTAATAACATCTGCCGAGGAGGGGTCCCTCTTGTACCACACCGCGATGCTCGGCCAGCCTGATAGACGATCGACATAGGCCAGAGACGTATTCCCAGCATACGAGAATAAATCAGCAGACACTTCCTCAAACACGCGATCTGGCAGTGGAGCAATCACCGGTGGCTCTGGCCGATGGCTGGGGAGGTAGTAGCGACATTGCTCACAGTTTCCCACCACAGTGGTGATGTCAGAGGATATCCCGGGCCAGTAAACCGTCTGGTGGGTACAATGCCTTGGTGGGATGCATGTAACTGTTGGAGGACTCGTGGCCGCTGACGACGGAATGACTAAACGGGAGCCATACAGAACTAGCCCATCATCTATAGTGAGCTGCCCTTGGAGTTTGCTAAAGTGTCTCACTTCCTCCTCCGAGCTGTGAGTGTCACTAGGCTTTGGGAAGCCGGACAGGACCCCTTGGATGACTTTCTGGTAGCTGGCATCAGCCGTGGCCGCCTCCGTAAGTTGCGTAAGCCAAGGGTCAATCAAAGAACCACTATGGACTGCTGATAGTGGTGTCTCGTCCAAAACATTTGCGGCAACGAGAGATGTGGCAAAACGAATCTGAAGCTGTACATCCGCGGATTCTGCTGCATCTGCTGCAGATGGGTCACAGACGGGTGCTAGTGATAGGGCGTCTGGGATGGCGTGATCCTTGCCCTTGCGCCAAGTAGTGCGAAATACAAAGAGAATCAACTTGCTCTTCATC